GCAGCTCCCTGCCGCTCTTGTATACCCAGCCCTCCAGCTGTCTGTGTGTGCGTGTGTTTGCGCGTGTATGTGCGTGTGCGCGTGTGTGCGTGCGTGTGCGTGTGCGTGTGCGTGTGAGTGTGCGTGTGCGTGCGCGTGTGTGTGTGTGTATGTGTGTGTGATTCGGCATTGCTGCGCCTCTCCTTCGCCTAGGTGAACGGCCCTCATGTCCGGCTGGTCCTGGACTACTCATTCGGCTTGCTCGATTGTCCTGTCCTAACCCTTGTGCCCACGCTCAGGTATGCCTATAGTACGGTTGATCCTGACGCATGCTTGCCCCATCCGGGGGGCTGGCGGCGCCCGCGCCCTTTCTGGCTTCGGTTTGTTTGTTGTTCTCCGCCTCGACTCTGCGCGCGGGGCCGCGATCGCCACAAAGTGCCTGTGTGTGTGTGCGTGTGCGTGTGCGTGTGCGTGTGCGTGTGTGCATGTGTGCATGTGTGTGTGGGTGCGTTTGTGTGTGTGTGTGTGTATGTGCGTGCGTGCGTGCGTGCGTACGTGCGTGCGTGCGTGCGTGCGTGCGTGTGTGAATGTGTGAATGCGTGGATGTGTGGATGTGTGAATGTGTCAATGTGTGCCCTCTCTCACCTCATAATTTCGTCGCCTCGGACGACGAGCCCTCGATCGTCTTCATCCCACGGATCTCGGGCGGACTGGGCTGTTGTTGTTGATGGCGACAGGCTGCCTAAAGGCCTGGACGCCCTCGGCCGAAGGCCGAGAAAAGTAGCACGGGCTTAAGAAGATGCCACCCTGGAGCCGCCTGTGGCAGCTCCGGGCGGACCGGGCTCTCCGATCTTCCCCTCTCCCGCGCTCCAGCGACGTTGACTTCATCGCCAGCGCCAGCCCAGCGATCTCTGGACCGCCTCCCCGTTGCTGTGGTTGATGGCGACAGGCTGCCTAAAGGCCTAGACGCCCTCGGCCGAGGGCCGAGAAAAGTAGTATGGGGTAAAGGAGAAACCGCCCCAGAGCCCGGAGCAGCCTCGTAGCCACCCCGGGGCGGAATCAATATTTAGAAAAGGCCCAGAAGGGCAGCTCGCAGCCGAGGAGGAGACTGCGGCCACCGCACTTCCGGGCCCCCGTCAGAGCGCAAGGGGGGGGGACATCCCACAAGTCAGGGATATCAGCGCTGATGGGACATGAATCAGGAGAGAAAGAAACACACAGACACAATGAATCGGCGATTCCCCAGAAATCTGGGAAAATATGGGAAGTGGGGGGGAAGACAAAAACCTAGAAAATATGGGAAAATATGGGGACTATTTTTATTTGTGTGTATTTATTTGTGTGTCCTGGGGCCCCTTCAATGAAAGGGGCACGCTTCGGTGACAGCGGTGGACCGCCTCCCTGGGACGGCTTCTGTTTCGCCGCGAGCCGTTCTCTGCTTGTTCTGTTGTGCTGGGGCCCCGAGGCCCGGAGGCGGTCTTCACCACCCACCAAACCACCCCAACCCAACCTGAAGGCCCCAATTTATCCTCGATTTCCAGTTGGGGGGGGTCGTGGAACATCGATAAAACACATATGGAACCCGTACCCCCTCCCAACCCGAAATTCGGGTCTTCGGGTTGGGTTGGGGTGGTCTGGTACGTAGTCAGGTCTCCCGACGCCCCGGGAGTCGCGCGGCATGCGGGTGTGTCGGCGGCAAGCCGGGGGGGGGGGAGAGGCGAGAAGGAGAGTCGGGCGGGTGGCAATGGGGGGTGACTTGCACGGGGGTTGAAGGACAGGGCCCAGAAGGGGCCCTTTCGGGCCCAGGTTGAGGATGTCTCAAACGACCCCGACCTTCCAGGAGAGCTAAAAAATAGCCCTGGACTTAAAAACCTATCCCAAAGCTATGTTACGTCTTGGTTTTAGGATGTGTCGGTTAGTTTTTAAATGGTTTTTAGGCCTCCAGTGCTAAAACATAGCTCTTTGGAAGGTCAGGGGAAGGCCACCTAGGCACGAGGGCTCCAGGGAGACGGAATGCCCGGCGGGGCTCGCCAGGGAGGGCCGAGCGCGCGCTCTTTCCGCGGGGCGGCGCGGCGGGCGGCTCGAGGGATCTCGAATGGCAACGGGCAGCAGCAGTGCAGCAGCAGGAGGGAGGAGAGAAGACCAGAAACGAGGGACAGAATGGATAGGAAGAGGAATGAAGTCCTTTCACACCTTTTTGGGCACCAGCTGGCTCCAAAAGGAGCCCTCTAGGACCCTTTCTTTCACCCCCGTGTAAGTCACCCCCTTTTTGCACCCGCCTGAGAGAAGGCCTTCTTCAGAGCCCCGAATCATCAGGGGTAACTCGGGTCAGGGATAACTCGGGTTCGTTTTTCGGGAATCCAAACCCGAGTTACCCCGGACCCGAGTTACCCCGGATATTTCGGGCGTCCAGAGCCCCGAATCATCAGGGATAACTCGGGTCAGGGATAACTCGGGTTCGTTTTTCGGGAACCCAAACCCGAGGGGTCGCCCCCAGGGGCGCGAAGACTATCGCGCGTCGCGCGTCATGGCCAGGGCCGCGGAGCAAGCCATCTCTCAAAGGGGGCGCGGCGCAAGCGCGAGAAGACAGCCCCGCGTGGCGCATCGCGGGGCGCCAGGCGCGAAGTGGTGCGACCCGTTCGATTGAAGACGAGCGGCCAGGAGCCCACGCGCAGCTCGGCAGGAGCACTCGAGAGCAGCGTTCTTTTTCGGGAGCCCGGGTCGGGGCGCCAGGCAGGAGTTTCCTGCGAGTGGTCGTGGGGGGTGACCCGAATGGGGGATGAAGAGAAGGTCGGGCCGAACGAAAGGGGGGGATGGGGAAAGGGGGGGTCACGAAATCTGCTGCATGCAGCTGGTTTCGGCCCCGTCGCTGGGCCCATTCCTCGATACACGGACGCCTTCCACCGGCGCCAGGAGGCTCTAGGAAAATCAGCCACGTGAGCTGATTCTCTACCCTACCCTTTGCCATCCCCCCCTTTCGTCCCCCCCGATCGTGGGGGGCGTGACCCGAATGGGGATGAAGAGGAGGGCCCGGATGGGGCCCTTCCGGGCCCCCTCTTGGGGCGCCAGCGGGCTCCAGAAGGGGCCCTCGAAGGGCCCCTCGAGGGGCCCTCGTCTTCCCTCCCCCCCCAGTGGGGCCACTCCCCCGCTGCCGCCCGCCCGAGAGCTCCGCAGGGCACCGGGAGCGTGCAGGCAGCAGCTCGCATGGGAGAGCCGCGGGAGCCCGCGCAGGGCCCCCATGGCACCGCGCGCCGAGCCCGCAGGGAGCGCGCCGGGAGTCAGCACGGGAGCCGTGTTGCCACGCAGCAAAGGGGGGGGGGGCAGGTTTGGGGAGTGCCACCATAGCTGGCTGGCGCCCCGGCCTGCGGGCGTCTCGCAGGAGTGCCGTCCAGAGCGCGCTGCGGCATCGGCTCCAGCTTTCACCTCAAAAGGTGTGCGTGTGTGTATGTGTGCGTGTGTGTGTCTGTGTGTGTGTGTGTGCACGGAGGCGGTGGTGTGTTTGTGTGTGGTTGTGTGGTTGTGGGTCTGTGTGGTGGTGTCTGTGTGCGTGCGTGTGTGCGTGCGCGCGTGCGTGCGTGCGTGTGTGTATATATATATATATATGTGGGGGTGGTGTGGTATATGAGGTTGTATGTGCGGCGGTATGTGTGCTTTTATGTTCCATCTGAACTTCCCTACCACCCTCCTGAACAGATAGGAAGTAGGCCTGGAGTCATGGGATTTTCTTTGGGTCGCTGCGAGGCCGCATTGGTCACGTGGTTAGCTTAGCACCTCCTGGTCTTCGAGGGCTCGCCTGGGAATCATGTTGGGGAAATTTGGACATCAGGGATCATCTTTGAGTCATGGGGTCGCGTTGGGGTCATGTTTGAATAATAGTTGGATCATTGGGCCGTCGTGGGGTCATATTGTAATCATCGGGGTAGACTCAGGGTCATGGGGTCATCGTAGGGTGATATCTTAGGCCACGTGTTCGCCTTGTGTCAGGGTCGTCACTCCAGAGAGTCGCATTGGGATCATCGTGCGTAGGCCCATCTTTGGGTCACTTTGAAGTCATCTTCGGATGATCTTGGAATCATACTCGGGTCATAGGGGTCATCTTGGGATTATCGTGGCATCATCTAGGGGTCATGGGTCATGGGGCCTCCTTGGATCTAGGTATCCGGGAGTTTTTGTGGTCACGCGTCGAGGGCCGGATATCGATCGGGTATCGAGGACAAACCATTGCGGATCGAGCATCGCGGATCGAGCAACAAGGGTCAACCGTCGAGGTCGAAGATCGATGTGCAAGAATCGAGCATCGAGGATGGAGGGTCGAGCATCGAGGATGGGGCATCGAGGGGGGGGGGGCGGGCCCAGCGTCCAGGATCGGGGTCACGTGCCCCCCCCCCCCCGGCCTCCCCTGCAGTGTTGGCGGATCGGGGCCGCCGAGCGGAGTCCCCAGCTTCGGTCGGGGCCCGGGTGGCGGGGGGGGGAGGAGGAGGAGGAGGAGGAGGAGGAGGAGGAGGAGGAGGAGGAGGAGGAGGCTTGGCGCTGATTCAACCGAGTGCGCTTCCAGTGCGCTTCGTCATTGCGCGTGCTGAATAGAAGTTCGAGGTTTGCTTCCCCTTCCCGTGCCACCCTCGGGCTGGCTTCTCCTTCCTGCCTCGTTTTCTACTTGATTCGTTATTCTACCTCGTAGTCGTGGGGCGCTTCCTTCTGCTTCGCGATCGCGGGACGCTTTGCTCTTCTGCTTCGCAGTCGTGCTGCGTCCGGTTTTCAGCGCCCGCCGCCGCGCGGATGCTACCCTCAAATTGATTCCTGGTTGCTGCTGTTAGGGTGTGCCGGCCCATTCGATATCGCATGCTTCTGAGAAGCTTGCGGGGAATTTCTGCCTGGCGCCCCCTCTTCGCAAGGGGTTCAACGGATTCCTGTCCACTGTTCATGACGACCTGTTTGCGCAGTGCTTCTGAGGACATGTTTCCCCAGCGCGAGTCCGACTCCAGGGCCATTGCAGATTTTCGAAGGCGACGCCTGTGAACCCC